CGTATGAATAATGCGTAACACTCGCACAACAATTTCGTTCGTGTGAAACATACGCGAACAAAACCGACAAAATAAAACATCCATCAAAATCTGATGATAACATTTTCATTACATCGTGAAAACACTCTGCAGATTATTTTCAAAATAAAAATTTCGACCAGTCCAACCTTTCATTGAAGTTATCGGGCAGGAGTTGATGGACCTTGGTCTTCTTGAGGGCGGAGGGGATGAGCCAGTGCCAGCTGGTGAAGAAGGAGAGTTGCACTACAAAGCCCAAGATGGCGATCTCGAAGATTAGGTAAAACGAGCACACGCCGTAGTATATCAGCTCACCAATTATCGCTATCAGGTTCAGCATTGAGCAGATGTCCAGCATGAACTGTTTTGGTTGTGAGTGATGGTTGGTTGGTTGGTTGGCTGGTTGTTGTGAAGTACTTGTGTAATTTTTACACCTTCTCATAAAACTTTTCTTAAGAATTATTCAGAGGTAGCAACAACAAAGAAACAGCGAATGTGAATTCAATACAAGTGAGTCAGCGCGTTACTTCAACAGCACTGCCGAGCGTCTTAACCACTACACCACGGCGCCACCCATTGTCAGTAGCAACAAACTCAACAACAAATGATAGAACAAAATCTTTCTTTTAAAAAAACACACCTCACTTTGAATATAACAAAATATGATATAAATCTCCTGGGTGTATCATTTATCATAGTACCCCTCAGCGAAAATATATATATCAAAACTGATACACCGATATTCGCAAGGAATAAATTCGGCATGATGACGTAATAGAAGTATCCTTGTTCACATATAGTGTCTTTGTTGTTGTTACTGCTGCTGCTGCTAGTGTATATAGACGATGCTGTTTCGGTTGTGGTGGAAGAATAAGTTGAAAAATATTTCAGCCAGATGTACCTGTAACGGAAAAGAGCGGAATTTAACAAATTTGTCACTAGGTGTTTTATACCAGTGGTGGGCAAACTACGGCCCGCGAAGCTGTTTTATGCGGCTTGCGAGGCATTGTTCGACAAAAAAGAGTCATCGGCCAGACATTATGGCCAAAAAATGAGCCAAAAATCTTGAAAAAATTTTCCTCCAGGTCAAAAAAATTTGCTATTTAAGTACATATGCGGCCCTTCAAAGGTTAGAAAGTTCTCAATGCGGCCCTCACAGCAAAAAGTTTGCCCCCCCCTGTTTTATGCCAAAAAATGGTGGTATATGATTTATTGAATTAGTTTTATTATTTATGTTTAATCAAATTAACAACGATACTTTTAATATAAATATTTAATAATTTATAATATATAAAAATAATAAAAAAACAATAATAATAATAAATAATAATAACAATAGTTATTACTACAACCATCGTCATCGTATCATCACCGTCGTCGTTATCATCATAATCATTATCATCATCATGATCGTCATCATTATCATCATCGTCGTCATCATTGGCAAATCGACAATGTACCTACGCCTTAGTTTTAAATTTTTAATATTATCATACTTGTGTTTTTTTTTGTTTTTATTATAATTAAAAATTGGTAAAATTAAAACAGTGATGTACCAGAACAACTGCGATACGATATCCACAACCGACGATATCGCCAAATCGTCGCTTCCGACTCGGTGGGTTCCGAATATCGATTTAAGTTTCGGCATTCGGTATTTTTTTTAAACTTTCTTCAATAAGTTTTGTATGTTGTAAGTTTTTAGTATGTTATTTTATTAAATTCATTCCTCGATAAGTTTTTCTTAAATTAAAACACTAAGCTTTGGCTTTTGTCAACCAATACTAATAAATCACGGAAATTTCTAATTTCATCATCGACCTAATCTTTTGTTTACTCACTGTTTTCTATTGTTTTTTGTTTACCAAAGAAATTTTGAAATGAAACAAGTTAGAAAAAACCTATAAAAAAAATTACATCTAAACAAATACTAACATTTACACAAACTATAAAACAACGTATACCTGAGCGACAAACTCTGCGTTATCTTTATTTACAGATACTCTCTCATTCAAAGAAACGGTTATGTCTGGATGATACAAAATGATATAAGATATTAGAGAGGTTACCTTAGCTATAACGGATCGTATTTTTTTAATGATCGGATCGATCGGATACATCCAGTCCATGTTTGATCGAATGCACTAAAAACTGTTACATCTCTTATTGTGGTTGCTTAGTAACGTGCACTTGCCACTATCTGGCAACTGTTTGGTTTGATGATCTGTATGGCTTGAGATTTAAAGCAAATTTGTTGAGTTTTTTTTAAATGCGACAAATTTAAATTATTTTATGTTGAATAATAAACATATGAACTTTATTCAAAAATTTATAAAGTATTAATACTGCATTAACTAATAGCAGATTATGACTTTTTAATATTAATTTAATTTGTATTTTTTAATTAATAAGTAACTCGTAACGGATCTTCAGCTTATCAAAATCATATAGTTCTTATTATTTAACATTATTTATTATTGAAGATTATTTATAATTTATTGAATTAAATAATAGTTAATTAATTAAAATGGATTACAAACGTGAAGAGAGCATATACAACTTGATACCAAAGGAACCCGTAAAGATTGAAAAGCCAGCCAGGTAGGACCATTAACTATTTAGATTGAGATCCAGTTGTATTAATTCGTTAGAAAATTAATATTTTGTGACCGGAAGTAAATGACATTAAAGCTACGTACAGATCAAAATATGATGTAGAATCAATGGAGTCACTCTTCTAAACTCTAAAGAAAATGATTTCTTTTAAACGTTTTTCAGGTACAAATCAATGTTTAACAACAAGAATGACAGTCAAGATAATGACCATTCACCAAATGGCAGATCGAGAGGGACTAGGGTCTCATTTAAAACGATGGGGCCGGCTAAAGTGCCTCAACGTCCTCCCGATCAGTTTCTCAAAAGCCATGAAAATGACGTCCACTTGCCCAAATGTTTGTATTTCATTTATTTTATTTCAATCTAGTCGGATGCTGCTTTTATTTTTTCATTAATGTCATCAAAATAAAAAAATTAAATTTTGACTATACGATTGCTATCTGCAGACCTTTAACGTAGCATATGCATTTAATGACACCACAGCCCAGCAGAGATTTAAATACGCAGACGCTGAAAAACGGAAGCCGCCGGTTCCAAAAGTAACCGAAAAACCGGTGATGGGCGTGCAGTCGAATAAAAATTTTATTGTCGAAAATGCAATTCAAAACATCACCGCAGCTCCGAGGGTTCCCGAAAGAACTTTTGTCGATTCTAGGCACGGAGAGAAACAACCCTTGGATGCTTCAGGATTGTATCCGGTTTATTTAAATAAAAAAGTCAGTTGGTTGGTTGGTTGATTGGTTGGTTTGTGGATTGACTTATTACACTATGGAATCTAATGTCTGATTGCTTTAGTCGCTCATGTAATATACAGATCAAATAAAAACTCTTGTCCAATTAGACATTCAAAATATTAAAAATTCGTCAACTAATTAACAAACTCTGGAACACTGAAGGATTTTGGGAAAACCCCGATCTATTTAGAGAAACGAAAGATGGAACTGGAGCAGAACGAAGCAGACATGAGAGCCTACGTGGAGATGAATGAAAGGAAGAATCAGATGAAAAGAATGACGGAAGATGAGAGAAATATCATTATCAAAGGTAGGCATCATGACCATCATCATCATCATCACAAGCATCAACATCGTCATCATTACCATCACGTTCAAAGATCATTTATTTTCATTTTTCCAACTTTGGTCACTATAATCATCATCACCAATCTTATTATCATCAATATCCTCATTAACATCTCTGTAATCATCACTGTAATTGCCGTCATCATCATCATCGTCACCATCAATATTCTCTTCCTTCTCAACATCTCACGACAAGGATTGAAGGATAACTGGGAGTACGTGTACAAGGATTACCTGGCACTTCCCATGGTCATTGACACTCCGATGAAGAAATCGATGAAAGAAAGAATGGAGAGAGATATGGAGCAGCTGGAGAGAGACGCCAGGCTGATCGAATCGCATAAAATTATCTACATTGCCGATTGAAGGAATGGTTAAATGAATGCACGAATAAATGAATGAACGAATGGTTGAATGAATGCATGAATGATTGATTGATGAATGGTTTGAGGGTTGATTGGTTAATTTATCAATCGATTGATTGATTGATTAGTTAGATGACAAATATCTGATTGTTCAAAGATTGATTGAATATAAATGCAGGCAGCTGACTAACACTGAATGACTGACTGATTTAGTAATTGGCAAATAACTGATGATTGGATGAACGATTGAACGAATAAAAGAATGAATGAATGGAATGAATGAATGACATTTCGTAAGCATCGAGTTATTTATTTGTCGGAGCAATCGTACAAAATCGTGTGAACAATTCGTTGAAGTGATAAAAATCACGTTAAACATTTCATTTCATTTAACAATTATGTAAATTTTTTAAAATAAAATTCAAAATAAATATTATCAAAGAGACCTCTTAAAATGTAAAAAGAATAATTTAAATAATGAAATTAAAAAAAAACCATTGTTCCTTTATAAGAGCTGCGTATATAATATGTACGTTTAAATAGAGTCATTTTATACAGGCAAATTTACACACACACACATAAACACACACACACACCGCACAAACACACACATGTGTATATATATATATATATATATATATATATATATCATGTACAATAAAGAGTCAGTCATTGTGTTCAATAGCATATAGATGATTCTTTAATAATTGAGACGTTACAGAAATAAATGTACACCCCCCAGTCTAAATATAATAATTAACAATCCCCAAATGAGCGTGAGGTGAAAACTTCAAAATTTAAACGAACGAAATTTGAGAAAGAAATCAATAAATTAAAATTGAAATGAATAAAAACTGAAACTGGAATTTGAAGTTAAATAACATCATAACGAACCACAAAAAAAATTGGATGGGAAAATTCGATCCATCAAAACACACACAAACACACACACACAGACACGTACAAAGTATACGTTTAAAAATATATCAAAATAAGCAAACATAAATGAACCAGCAGCAATGAAGAAGCGTGAAACCGGCGACAAAACACATTCCAAATGAACAGTAATATAAAAATATGCAAACGGATGTAACGCATATACTTCGTAATATTGGTGGTTCGCTATATTTGTAAAGAACACTCGGTTATAACGTATCCAGAACTAACTACGGCTAGTTAGTTCTTCTACTCAAGAACATAACAATCCAAAACATTCTTTAAAAAATGTACCATAGCACGTTTCCAACCAACACAACGACACGGAAGCGATAAAACCTCGTTATAACGCAATCATCAGAAGTAAAATTCACTCGGAATTGGATTTAAGTTTGTTTAAGTGGAAGATGCATTCCAATTTGAAACAAATTAAGGACACCTACGTAAAATCCGATGTACAATTTATATTCAGAAAAAAACTCTTCAAAAAATACAGGTCAGAAATTTGGGGAACAAAACTTTACGAAATCCTAAAAAATGTTTTATAAAGTGTATTAAAAATAACGATATTTCGGCTAGGTATAGTGATTAAGATGAACTTCTCCCACCTAACAAACGCCTCTTCTCTCTAGTGGCTAGCGTGGCAACCACAGCTGCTACCGACATGTTATCAATGAATTTTAAAAACTCATAAAAATATACTAAATATACTAATAAACTTTAATTCTACTAAATAAACAAGATTTTAAACGAAAATTTATTTTTAAATTACTTTAAATTAACAATAAATGTCGAGAGTCTAACTGAACTTTTGGCTTTCACATTTCTAAACATTTTGTCCAAGAAAGAACTATTTATTGTATAGTTCTATTTAATTTTTTTTTCTTAGTCAAAATATACAACGGATGCGAGATAATTCGCATTCATATTATATAATTCGTCTAAATTTATTAAATAAATTGTTATATAAAAAATTAAACATTCAATATACATTCAGCTGGTAGAGGTCTCCGAGGCCAAACTACTTTAGAAATGTACGTTCCAGTGAAGTATTACCATATTGTTGCAAACTCAAATTTCAGTATAAATCAAAAAAATTAATTAATTGGATGAGATACCTATACCTAAATAAATATGAACGTGCAAAATGATGTTAAAGTATGTAAATGAATGAACTGCGGGATAGCTGAGGTGGTAGAAGCGCCATGTCTTGCAAAACGGCGTTTTGTTTTATAGATCAGTTGCAAAGTAACGTGGTTCGATTGCTTACTCGGCAGAACTCAAAATGTTCCTATTTAAAAACACGTAGATACATACAAAGTTATTAACCAATGTATGCGTCAATTTATTATCATATTGATTCGACCATGCTAAACAAGTCTAACCATTATTGAATCATCACAGCTATCGTCATCATCATCTTCTTCTTCACCTTCTTCTGCATCAAACAATCTCCAAACTACATCAAACCGAATCATCGTCATTGTCATCATCTTCATCATCCTCATCACCATCATCAATAGAATGACCAAACTATCTCCCAATCCCACCACATAAGACCATCATCTTCTTCCTCTTCATCATCATCACCATCCATGAATAAACAACCAATGAGCTGAATCAAACCAAATCATCCTCATCATCATCCTCCTCCTCATCAGCTGGTCCCAGCAAATGCTTCCTTCCCTCAGCCGAGGCCGCCCCATTATCACCCGCGGCAGCTTTTACCCCACCACCACTACCACCCCCAAGCCCCCCTTCGACGCCCCCGCCGCTGACGGACGTACGCAGGCTGGAGTATTTGCTGTCGTCTGTGGCACCACCGAATAGATAGCGACTGTGGTGGTAGCAGACGCAGACGGAATAAGCTAAGGCCATCAGGGTTATGAAGAGCATCAGACTTATGACTGTGTGGATTTGATTATTTGAAATTTTATGTCGTGAGTTGTATGATAATATCTTTGGGAATTTAATTATTTAAAATATTAATTTACCATTCAAATCATCCAATCAGTCAATCAATCTTCGTTTAAAGTCCAGAGACCCAGTTCCCCCGAGGTAGGACGTTGTTTTCTTTTCCATCAATTTTTTGTGCCAAATTAGGCGATCAGTTATATCCATTTCATTAAAATTTAAATCAAATTTTAAATTTAAATTCAAATTATCCAACTTTAAAAGAAACAAAAAAAAATCAGATTTGACTACAGTCTGAAAAATTTACTGAAAAAATGGCATAACACATGAACATTAAGGTATTTTATTTTACAATATTTACTAACAAACTAAATTCTCTGTAAGATAAACCTCCCTCTTGATGTTTAAAATGGACTCGACCCTCTTGAAATCACCATCATTGTCGTGTGGCGGTAGCTTCAGGATGTAACACATGAGTGAGTAGAGATCCACTATTTCGAAGGGGCGTTCAAGTTTGTAGTTAACTTTGAACGCTGGACCACTAGCAATAAAGATGGGATGCATGGATTTCAAGCTGTTGTTGTATCCGTGATCGCCTGTTTTAGGATTTTTGTTAGTTTCGAAATTATTTATTTTTATCTGCCAGAATTATCAAAAAAAACAAAAGAAATTAAACTGAAATGAAGATATTCCATATTGAAGTCTCTGATATATAAAAATAATTCAACAGCAACAAATAAACTCAATCAAAGTCAAAATTCAATAAAACCAAAAATGAGAATTTGAACTATTAACTGCAATGGATTTAATCGAATCGAACTAATGAACGAATATATCAATCAATCGATTAACTGCTAATTACCTAATTAATTATTCGTATATTCAAATTAGACCCAGCCCACTAATCGCCACCCACCGACAGACCTTTCATCAACATGCAGTAGGTGTCATTCCTAGACATGCAAACCCTGTAGCCCTCCTCGACCGTCAGGACCAAATCGAGAATTCGGCGATTATTGCGGTAGTGATACTCGGTAGGGATGTGCTCTTTTTTGTAGACATTAAGATGGGATATATTACTCAATATCTTGTAAACCTCTTCCAGGTGGCCTGTGTTTAAAAGTGAAATTTAAAATTGTAATGATATTGATAGCAAAAAAAAACACACAGCTGGCCTACGTTAACATAGACAACATAACTTTTTTTTTACCACTAAATGAGAGCAACAAACCTGGTTTCGGCAAAATATTATAAACAAGAGATGTGCCATAGATCTGAAATAAAGAGACGTCGACGTAGTCACTCAGTATAATAACTTCTCTTTGGTACACCATTCCGTGGTCACTGGTTAATATTATATTTACACTACTCATCAGTTTTTTCTCTTTCAACATTTCTAAAAATTCGCCCAGCAGTTTGTCTAACTCGATGATTTTTTTGGCAATTTCTGTCGAGTTTGGCCCATATTCGTGGCCAGTTGAATCTGGTTCATTAAAGTAAACCATGCCAAAGTTGATTGGGGATTCCTCATCAGTAAACCACTCTAAAAGTTGAATCAGTCGATCTTTGAAATCCATACTCTTGTTGTAGTGTAGGAAGCGTGTTGGATGCTGGCCTTCCACATCTGACCCGACCCAGAAAACGACCCCACTGTATCTCTCACACTCACAAGTCCCATTGCAACCGCACTTCTGATTAGTGATCCAAATCGGTTCTACCAGTTTGCCACTTTTTCCATCCCACCATTTGCTGTCTGTGCCATCTGGTGAGGATATATCGAAAGTTTCATTAAATAGTGGATCGTAAAACGAGTTCCCAACTATCCCATGGTTCTCCTCATACCGTCCTGTCGCAATTGAATAATGATTCGGGAATGTTTTTGTGACAAATGCATTTAAAACTCCATCATTTGATATTGAAACGCCGCTGCTTATTAGCATATCAAAGTTCGGCGTTGAGTAATTGAAACTATTTTTTACAAAATCCAAATAATCCCATTTAAATCCGTCGAACGAGATGACTATAAGTTTAGGCGGTTGGTCGTGATGTTTGTGTGTGGTGGACGGGCTGAGGATGGCAATCAGTGGCAAGAGTATTGAATAAAAGTAAGAGACTTTCTTCATATGTGTAAAAAGCATCTTCCTTCCTGTTGTTAAAGGCCTGTGTGTGAATGAATATCAATATACCTGACCAGGTGTGTGAAGCTAGCCGTGGATTTATTTCACAGCCAAGGATTTCAATATGAGCATTAAATAATAAATATAAGATAATTTCAGAAATAAAGAATTTTGAGACAAATTTAAGTTGAAACATAACATTTTTATTTTGTAAAAACCATTTTTCATGTTTTTCCAATAAATCTTTGAAAATTTTGTAATAAGAAAACTCCTATTCAGAAATTAATAAAATTTGCACTATATACACATGAACTTGTGATTAAAAAACCCTGAAAATTTCACAGGCCTTAAATTATTACTTTGTGAGTAATTTGAGTTTTATTATTTAATGCTCCTTGAAATCCTTAGCTGTTAAAAATCCTTGGCTAACTTCACACACCTTACCTAACCTAAGGAACAAAAAAGTAAATCAAAACTGTACACTAATCATTAATTATTATATTTTAAAATAATACAATGACTTATGATGATTATCATATGTTGGGAATTCCGTTGTTTAGAAAACTTTTTAAAAATACAAAAAAAAAATCAACATACAAATTATAAAGTCATAAAATATTCTAACCTCTCTAAACATTAGGATTGAAAAAAAAAGAATTATAGTAAATAGTTTTTAACAACAGTTAATAAAATAATGTCTTATTATTGAATTTGGGAGCATAAATCACTAACCTCACCACAAAATCGATCTAGTTACTTGTGTTCTTTAATTATATACATGTATATACAAGGTTTTCACAAATAGGATAGGTAATTGCATAAAAGTGGACAGTAGTTGTGAAAAGTAAATGCCTTACGTTACGCAATATTTTAAACCTGAATTCTGTTATAAATATTCTGGTTAACCCATATAACTGGTTAACTCTTAAGCTAATTAATTATACAAGTATAC